GAGCTGATCAACGATGAGGCACATTTGCCTTTTTTGTACAAAACTGTGACTATCACCAGTCAGTGTGTCCAAACCAGCAGCAGGTGGTCAACAGGTGACACAGTGAGAACGATGTATGCAGGTAAACTCAAGCTTCCACCGAGCTCCTCGGTCATAATAATAATAATAATAATAATGGATTGGATTTATATAGCGCTTTTCAAGGCACCCAAAGCGCTTTACAATGCCACTATTCAGTCACTCTCGCATTCACACACTGGTGGAGGATGATAATGATACATTTTATTTATAGGCGCCTTTAAGACCCTCAAGGTCACCTTACAATAACACAAGGTGGAACAGACAGAAGGGAAGCTGAAGAAGAGCGGAGCGAGCTTATGAAGCGCTTTGAAAGTGAGAAGCAGGATCTTGAAATTGACACGGAGGTGAACTGGGAGCCAATGGAGCTGTTTAAGAAGAGCTGTTCTATGTTCAGTGGATCTAGTTCTGGAGATAATACGAGCAGCTGTGTTTTGAACTAACTGCAATTTATGGAGGGATTTATGAGGTAGACCACAGAGAGGAGAATTACAGTAATCTAAACGAGATGTGACAAGAGCATTGATGAGTATGGCGGTACTGTTTGGAGTGAGCGAGGGACGAAGGCGGTTAATATTACGGAGATGAAAGTAGGAAGACCGAGTGATATTATTTACATGTGCTGTGAAGGACAGAGTGCTATCGAGGATGAGACCAAGACTCTTAACCTGAGGGGAGGGTGTGACAGAGTTTCAATGGATAACGAAAGACTGGTTGGAACTGTAGTCAGTTTGGATCTGGTGCCTTAAAATGAATTCTGTTTTATTGCCATTAAGTTTAAGAGAGTTGTGAGTAAACCAGATCTTGATTTCACTTAAACAGTCTGAAGTGGATGTGGGTGGGAGAGTATATATCACAGAAACACACACAGGTTAGAGTCCAGCCAAATGTGTAGAGGTCTCTTCGGGGGAGTCCTCAGGCTCCTCTCGCTGCTGGTTCTGCTTCCACATAACAACTCGCTCCAAACACTCTTCAGTATAAATTTGCAAACTCTCCAGATCTTCGTCACAGTCCTCCAGAGAGCTGAACTTTGTGGAAATAAAGAATGTATTTTTATTATCTTTAAAGCTGTCTAGAAATAAACTGTCTGAAATGCCGGTAACCAGTGCCGTGCTGCTGTGGTCGATACCGCCGAGTCTTGTGTCACTACAGCATAGCATCACCCGGGACCTACAGTTTTTCTGTAACTTCTTGTTTTAGGAAGCTAGCTTTTGTTAGCACCTTCCTTTGTACATGGTTGCCAACACCAGGTGGCTCTCTCTATCCATACTTGTAAGGAAAAACTGTTTTTCACTCCATTATTTCCACCCGACCAAACAAATCACTGCACTTTTCTCATGATGCACAGTCTGGTCTGAGGGAAATTAGCCTAATTATTTTGTTCCCATTACCATGTAAAATTCCTTGTTGGAAATGTGCCTAATTTTCCACTAAGGCAAATAATTGAGCTGTAGTCTAATCAGTTGAGGAACTGGCTGACCTCCCTTCCCGTCCCTTTCTATGTTCCCTTGTTTTTCTGTCACAGCACAGCAGCTCGTTATCCTACTACTGTAGGTTTTTGGTGTTAGGGATGAAGCGCTGAAGTGACGGCAGGTAATGGAAGAAGTGGGAAATGATAGGGATGGGCATAGGAAGAAAGTGAGAAAGGAAGCAATAATTGAAAAGGCAAGAAATGAAAGAAAAGGAGGGATAAGTGAAGGAAAGATGTAATGAATAAATGAGCTAAAATAGGAGAAAGAATCCAGATGAGCGAGCAAGGCAGGACACAGAGTCAGGTGGAAAAAGAAAGGCATGACAGCAAACGGCGTAAATGAATGAACAAAGTCGAGTGGGTCATGCGTGTGGGTGGTAATGTGCACTTTGTTTATGCAAAACCGTGCTGGTTTTTATGGTTTTCCATGGATCAAGAACACAGCGGAAATCAGGCTGACACATCCCAGCCTGCAGCAGAAAGTCAGCCCTCGCTCCTCGCTCCATGTCACACTTTGTTTCAGTCAAACCCAGTACATGGTGATGATACTGCATGGAGTAACCAATATGGATTAATGCTATCAGTGCGCGCATCAGCTCATATAACACCAGCAGCAGTGTTTTCTGTGACAGAGTAATGTTAAAATGTCATTCTTTTCTATATGTTAGTGTTATTTTGGTAATTCTTGCCATCATTCCCTTCTGTAATAATGCCATTGCACCAAAGCAATTTAGAACATGTAGCAGCATAGCTTTAAAAGTCAGACAAGGCAAGAGACAAAACACCACTTCGTCAATCTCATTTGGAAGAGGAAAAAAGAACAAGACACAGCCTAACATAATCACCAACACTTTGTGCTTTCATTCTGACCTCCTGTGGTGGTATTAGTGATCCAGGTATATAGTGAAAGATCATTCCAGGTGTATTCCCTTTGAGTTTTTCATGTTAAAGTGGAGCTTTTACTTTCACTAGAGTATAAATAATTATTAATTATGTTGTACTTTTTTTTTTCCTGTCTGAAAGAAGCCAGATTAGTTCGCTTGTTGTTCAACCAGCTTTCTTCTGATTGGCTGCCCCTCATAAATAGGTCTATGTTTCTTCTCTTGAATATGTATGATGTCATGTCATGGAGCGGGGATATACCTAATACGGTCGTCTTACGTTGCCTGTCCCAGGAAGCCCCACCCACCCATTTGCCTTCTATAATTTTTCATGTGAGGCAGCCAATCAGTAGAAAGAGAAAGTTGGTTTAACGGGGGAGGAGCAAAAACAGCTCATTCTAGTTAGTGGATGAACCGAGGAGCTTCGCCATTCCCAGCATAGTCTAAAGATGAATTTAAAATGTGCAGAGGTAATGTAGTACAGTAGCTTTAAATCGTGTGGCGAGTCCACAATAATAAAACCAAAAAACAAATATTAGGGAGACGCGTCTGACCAGCTAAAGCATGAAAAAGGAAAAGATTTGGTTAAAAATGAGCAAGAAGACCTAAACTTTAAATCTTTTTGAAGGATGTGAGAGCGGGGCATAAAGTGAGGGGAGACGAGGGCCCCTTGCCTCTCCACTTTTGATGCCCTTGGCAGCTAAGTAGTAATAAACCTAAATTATAGTTTAAACCTCAATTACTGGAAAACAGAGGCTTTATTTTCCCATTTAATGGAGAAGAAACCAGCTGTGTGCAAAACAATGATGTAATATGTCCTTTTAAATATTTCCCCGTTGACACATCCAGCATCCCACATTAGCATTCATTTGGAGTAATGTTTTTGGCAGCTTAGCAAATCTAAGTCCAATATTTACCTTCTTTTCCTCTTTGATGTGTTCCCACCAGCATCACATAAAAATATCTGGCTGTAAAAAGCTGCTAAGAGCTCGTGTATGTTCCACAGCAAGTCATTAACTTTGCCTGTCTTTGTCTGCTGAAAACCGCACTGACGGGAGGTGAGAGTGGACTGAAACAGTAAAGTTGCAGACCATCGAGCCCAAAAAGCGAGAGCACTTGAAATGCACTAAAGCAGAGGTGATGATAACGCTCTGCGGGTTTGTATTTATGAGCCACATCAGCCACACACTCAGTCAGAGGAAATCGATCGGTTACATACAGTGGAAATCCAGCAGTCCTTAAAGGTGCAGTTTGTAAAACCGGGTCACTTTGTCATGATGCTTTTGTGTTTTTATTACTGAGTTAGTGGAAACTCGAGTCCTAGTTTGTAACAATTTATAAGCAGAATAATGAATAGTTCTGTCAAAAATGGCACATTTTTCATCTTCATGCACAGACGAGGTGCGTGGTCTTGGCCATTAAGTCTCAATTTAAGGCCCAAAGAGATGTCGATGCAAATGAAGAAGGTTGAGAAACCTAAATCAACGTATCCGAGAAATAACAAAAACTTTAAGTGTTGTCAAATCAACTCTCTTAAAAAGAAGATTTATATTTTTGGCTTTTTGCCGTTTTTTTGGTGGTGAGATGAGGGCTGACTAGCATCCAGGCCTCTGCGGTGAGGATACACCCGTCTGTACACTGGGCGCATTTGTTACATTTTTAATGTCGTTTTTATTATTTCATGGGGGATGAAGTTGCCCCACAACCCATCTCCAATAAAGCACTGCAGGAAATTTTCACATGCTTTATTTATTAGATTGATGTTTGGGTCATTTAGGGGATTTTGTTTGGGAGAAAAACAGAACAAACTACATTTAGTTTGCTAAAATTCAGGAAATGAAGTGAAGTTTGAAGCGTTCCGAGTGTGCTTTGAGCAATGCAGGAATTTAACTTCAAACAGAACACGCTGTGTTTTTTAGTGGTCGATGCAAATTTCCGACCCTGTTTTTTCTCTAATGGCACGAGTCTGAGCTAAATAAATGAGCCAGGTGAGCTTCGAGAAACATTAACACCCCTTCCTCCCTGGCTGTCATAAAGCCAATAATTATTATCAGTTTGTAAAAAAAAAAAAAATTAAAGAACGGGTGGCATTTTCAAATGGTGTGTTTGTGTGTGTGAATTTTGTGTTTGCAGCGCTCAAAGAAATGATCCATGACAACTTGACAGAATCCAAGAGGACCATTAATCTCTTGCAGCGAATGAATATCTACCAAGAGGTCTTTCTCAGTGTTCTCTACAGATTGTTGCCCATACAGGTAATACAACACTCACCTGTCATCTCGGCTGGTAACACACAAAAGATTAAAGACCTCAGCTACACCAGCTAGACTGTCTGGGACTTTTGTCATTTGTTCTGTTAATTAACACATCCTTTTTATGTGTAGGGGTGGGGGGAGAAAGTAAAGTCACTCTCCAGTGTTTTGAAAAATGTATTTTCTTTTGGCATTATTACTGTAATGATCGTAGTCAAATGAGGAAGTGTTTGAGGCGCAGTGGCGTTCCTTTGTTTTTCTGTCTTTTTAGCTGACATGACTCGGAGCCCTTACACTTGTCACACTGGAGGAAAAGGTTTCTGTATTGGCATAACAATTAACCGAGAAACCGCGACTAAGCTTCATCAGCTGTCTCACCGAGAGACAAGAATGTCAGGGAGTGAAATATCAGACACAACTCTGAAAATGCCACAGTGTTCTCGAGTGCCCGAGTCAGTCGCTGTCACTGTTGTCAACTCTGTGCATTCAATCGCGCTGCCTAATGAACTAATGGCTTCCCTTTGTGTATGTGTGTGTCTGTGTTTTTGTGTGTGTGGCCCAGTCATATTTGGAGCCCGTGTACTTTTATATTTACACAGTGTTCTCGCTCCAAGCTGTGTATGTGATCGCTTTGTACCTCACAGCGTGGCTTCTGTCTGGCTCCTGGCTTGCTGGTGCGCTCACCGGGGTCTGGTACATCCTTAACAGGTGAGTAATAACTATCTGTGTGCGTGACACAGTGAAGGAGGAGAGAGTTAGTCCCTTTCTTCTCGCACTTGACTCTGTCATGGCAGTTTTTCTCTCAATATAACAAAGAGTCCTTTTTTTTATTTATTTTATGGATCAACTCTTAAAGGTGCAGTTGGTAATTTTTTTTTAAGGTTAGGTAACACAAAGAAAAGATAATGTACTGATAAATATAAATAGATTAGTGTGTATTTATATCTTCCAACAAATTGATGTTTTCATAAACGAACCACCCAAACAACAAAAAGCAGCAGCTGTTTATAAGCTAACATCATCCTAGCTAACATTAGGCTTGAAAGTCCTAAAAATCACACTTTCTCTAATAACAGTTTGATTACATTCTGACATCATCTGAGAGTTGTTTTTTTTTTTTTTTACCAAGAGTCCAACGATATTATATCTACTTAAAAGACATCAAACAGTAGCTAACAGCAGCTAACAGCAGCTAACAGAAGCAGCTAACAACAGCAGTAGCTAACAGCAGTAGCTAACAGTAGCTAACAGCAGCTAACAGCAGTAGCTAACAGTGGCTAATAATAGCTAACAACAGCTAGTAACGATGGCAAAAACAGAAGCCTTACTGACAGGTATGCTATTCTCAGAAACACACCTCAATATCAGTGTCATTGGTAAGAAGGGATGTTACTGACTCATACACACCTAGCATCACTCTTAGGTGACCACAACATGTTTGTCCTACAGCGACCACCATAGCTAGGATTATGCTTTTGAATTAAGAGGGTTAAAAAAGTCAGTACTATGTAATTTTTAGCTTCACATGACTAAGTGTGACTGAGGCTTTAGCCACCTGGTGATGGTTAGTCGGTTAAGTTGATAAAGTAGGTTAGCTCCCCTCCTTGAGTTTGGATGAAGCTCTCTGTGAGTCCAATTCCCTGCTGATGTTGATCCTTCATTAGATGGGTTTCTTCTAGCTAATCTTAAGCTGATCTTGGCTTACCCGCCTACTTAATCATGACACATTGTTGAATGCTGAAAGCAGTAGCTCATTTGTTTCTTCACATGTGCTGTCAGTCGTAAAATGCCATCTAAAGCCCCAAAAGTTTTTTCTTTTCTTTCCTTATGTGAAGTTAAAATCAATTTCTTTGGTCTGAACCAGTTGTTTGTTGACACTGAAGTAAACTTAAGCGATTGCTTTGTGTTGCTCACTGTTGATACTGGGACGCTGGACCGCCACTTGGGAGTGAGCATAAATGTCACATTATTTGTATTTTTGTGGAATGTTTATCCCGAGTGTCTCACATACTGTGCAAATCAATCCACAGGCTGTGAAAGGCAACCGAGAGAGATGGGAAGGTCTCATTGTTTATGTTACATAACAAACCTTGTGTAGCAAACCTTGAAATTTTTGTCAAACCCAGAGTACATCCTACTAGGTTTCAGTTAAAAAAAAAAAAAAAAGGAAGAGAAGACTTAAGTGCGTATTTTGCATTCACTTCAGACCAATCGTCTGGATTTAGAAGTGATGGGCTGTAAATCCCAAACCGTGGGTGTTTGTTAGCTTGAAGCATCTATCGTCTTCATTTCTTAGATCCGTGACTTCAACACCTGAGCATATACATTATGCAAGTGATCAGTGGGGGTCATACTACACAGATGTTTGCAGGGAACATCAATAATCTTGTTACACATGATTTTTAGCAGCGGTGTGAGCACGAAGGGTCAGAAAAGCTTAAGACATTTCAGGTTATGTGAGAGTCGTGTCCTGCAGAGTCTCCTCTAAACTTCTGCTCTTTCCTGTAGTGTGAGCAGAGTTTTAAACACTGTGTTAGATGCACTGCACATCAGCAGCGGACTTCTTAATAGATCTGGAATATTGACAAAATATTTCATCCTTGTTTTTAGCTTCCTACCAGCTGGTTGTGCCTAATAGACGGCCTTCAAGCTGGCCTACACCCAAAAACACCAGCGGTGAGAGATTTCAAGTTTGGGTCCAAACATTAAGTAATGTCAGTGACATCATGTGGCTTCTGACATATTTGGCGTTATTGGTCAAAGAAACGTTTCCAGGAGAGTTTTTAATTTCCCTGAATGTTTTTAAGCATTTCAAGAACAAATTTTATTTTCCTAATTTCTTTAGTTAGTTGTTTAATTTGTTGATCGAGGGGGTGATTAGCTCAGTGCACACTCAGCAACTTTTCAGTCACCACGCAGCCAAGCTTTGAAGCACTCTGAACTCTACTTTGTGGTCTATTTCAGTCTAAATGAGAATTTAATGTCAAAATTAAAATCCCTGCTATATGAACAAAGACTTAAAAGTAGCAATTAACACTAAAATTAAGTGTAATAAAAATTAAGCTATCATTTGAGAGTGAATGCACTCATAGTCATCAGTATAATCAGACTTCTTTTTGAAACCCCTGGAATCTGGAAACCTATGGGCTCTGTGCATCTTTTGTATACAGTCTATGTGTAGGCCAGAATTTGCCAGTCCATCCTGAATATTGATTCAGCAGTTGCTTTTTTTAATACGAATGTGTCAAATATATATAGATATTATTATTATCATCATCATCATCATCATCATCATCATCATCATCATTATTATTATTATTATTATTATTATTATTATTATTATTATTATCATTATTATTATTATTATTATAGGAAAATAAAGGCTTTAAATTCACACAAGGAGTTGACTTGATGTTGCACAGGTGCTCACTCATGTCTGCTTGGTGCGTATCACGAGAATGAGGGTACAGTGAGTGGAAGAAGTGACTGACTGCCATAAATAAAGCACTTTGCTTCGTAGCTGAAAGTTGGTCGCTAGTGGACCTTCCAGGTTGTGTAGCTAATCCACTGACAAACCAAACAGACACAGTGCATGTACGGGACAAGCAGATCTAATTCTTCTTTTGTTAGTTTGTGTTACTGGTGTGTGGATTTGCCTACTTTTCTGTACTGTTGGAAGTGCACTAAAGTTTAAACAGTCTCAAAAACCCTCCTGGCGTTTTCTCTGCTGTCCATTTGGAGCTGTAAACGCTGTACGACCTCAGAGCGCTTTGAAAATTGCCACCATGATCTCAGGATTTAATTTTTTTTCTTTTTCTCAAGCCACCAGAAGTTCCAGACTTCTGTTAGGTTTCCTTCACGGTGTTTAGCTGAAACGGTTTAACACCATCTCTCCATCGCTTCATCAATCATTCTCCTTTCAGGGTAGATACTACTCGTGTAGAGTTCACCATCTCCCTCAGAGAGAACTGGTCTTTGCCCTTCTTAGCGCTGCAGGTCGCCGCTATCACCTGTTACCTCAGACCCCAGCTCACCACATTACAGCAGGTAAGCGCAGAGCTATAGCCCAAGCTCGCCACATAGATCAGCCTGATGAGGCGAGCCACTCAATAATTTAGAAGTACAAGCAGCACAGAAGAAATGTGATCAGGCAGTGTGGCTGTAGTTATGCAGATTAATCGTCTAACCCTGTGTGCGCGCGTATGTTTGTGTTTCCTCCTCAGAAGGTGATGGTGTGGCTGATGTATGTGACGACGTTCTGTTTCTGTCTGACCTGGCAGTTCAACCAGTTCATTCTACTGGTTCAGGCTCTCGTCATTTACACCCTGGACTGCGGCGACTTCTTAACAACTACACGGGTAAGAAGGACCAGATATTTACAGGTTTCTAGCTTCTGGTTATAGTTTCATATGTCCCAATCAGTGGCACTAAGCTTGTATAGGTGCTAAAAAATTTGACATATATTAAACACTAATATGTTATAAAGTGTAACAGCTGACTTTAGGTGTCCTGGCAACAATTGTCTGTTTTTCCATTGTTGAGCTATGAGAAAAATCCTCTCGGTCTGCAAGTAATTTGTTGCAGAGCTGAGTTAGTGAGACTCATATTGAGCTATCTTTCTGTACTCATAGTAGATATGTTATCTAAAGACTGAAGAGTAGGCAGAGATAACAGAGTTGTTGGGGTTAGATTGAGGTTGAGGTGAGGTTTTGCATCATGAGAGGTGAGAAAAGGTGAAGAGAAGCTGAAATAATCAAAACACTTGCATTGATTGGAAAACAAGAAATGTTACTTTCCTGGGAATCTATTCCTGAGGGTTGGAAGGACAGACATATGTTCACGCACAGTTCACCCGCTTTACAAACACCAGAATTTTCTATTCCTCACCTGCTCGCAGCTGTGTTTGCAATGCAGATAGTTCCTGTCTTATTTGCTCAAACTATCCCTCTCTTATACATTTTCACTCGTGTGCAGTGGAGGTGAGTAGGATTTGATTTGTGGCGCTCACCTCATTAAAAAACCATGATGTCCAACTGAAATTGGAATTCTTACTTTGTTTGTAAGAAAAAGAACAATAAGTGGAACATTTATTGCAACACCCCAGGTGTATTTTTGTTTGTTTTATCTCATGTTTTAAAACGTATCCCACAGCCTTGCTTTTATGCAGCTTAACTCAGGTAGTTGTACAGGTAGCTGGAACACCTATGGAGAGTTCCTGCTTGTTGAATCTCAGGTGGTGGCCTAGGGCCTGCTGTAAGGTCACCAGCTGGAAGCCACTTCTCACTGATGTTTTGCTGTGTTAGGCCCGGAGCATGCTGCATACCTCTGCGTGTGGTATTCATAGAGACAGAGCTGCTGCTGCTGCTATTGCCAGCACACAGAGAGAGAGTGCACCTGGAAAAAAGTCGGCTTTCTCACAAAGTTCTGCTGACTTTCTGACTTTCCTCCACCCTCTTCTTTTTAACATCCAAATGTGCAAATAACTATTAAATAATATTTAGGCTACATCCATTTGTGTCTGGGATATTTTCAGATACATTTGGTCTGCAAGAGGCCGTGCGAGTCTTGCACAGTTGAGGAAAGCAGTGTTTTCAGCCTTGTTTCCAGAACATCTCCAAGTGGACGGGCAGCAGCAGGGACATCACCCTATTATCCCTGCAGCTGGCTCTGTGATACTTTTTCCCTCCACATTGTTTCTCCTCCTCTGCGTTCTCTGCCAGCTGCTTTCTGGCCTCTTTTAACTTAACTCGGGGAAACTCCAGTAACATGCAGGTCTCCATGTGTGCATCTCTTCCTTCCAATTTCCAGTCAGGATGGTGGTCCTATTCTTGGCTGATTGATATGTTAGAGGCTGGACATGTCTGAGGTGACCAGCTCCATGGATTCATGGTGTTTTGCTGGCTTCAAGGTTTATGCCAGTTTCTGCATCACCAGGTCAATTAGCTTCAAAAACCTCAGAGAGAGGAGAGCGGAGCCAAAGCTGTGCATCTTAAAGTTTTTCATCCTCCAACTTTTCTATTGTTACACCTTTCCAGTTATTTATGGTAGATTAACATTCATTTTACGTCTGGGCTGATGTAGCCTCGGTATACTGTGTGGCCTTTACTTGCTAGCATTCCCCAAGCCTCATGTTGGCTCCGTCATTATTTAAAGAGTGTGTCGAGTACGGTGGCTGGAGGTGAAAAGCTCGAGGAAAAAATAACTAGTTTTTAACTGGCAGAACAAGGTGTAGTGGTTGACGCATTCATCTAACGTGTGATTTAGGACAGATTCCTGTTTTAATTCTGAGAGGAAACACAAACCCAACCTCAGCGGGCCACAGGATCTAATGGGAGGCCAGTTTAAATGGGAGGGTTACATCAGGTAGTGAATCCTTTGCCAAATCAAATACGCAGATGTATCTGCTGCTTTGGAAATAAAGGACGGGCTAAAAGAACTGTGACAGCAGTGAAAAGGACACACCAGGAGGGAAATGAGAGGAGTGGAAAATAAATGCTCAGTGCGTCACAGGAAGGCCTCCAGCAGCAAAACGAAGGGATGGGTCAGGGTCACCTGATCCAGCCTTAACCATAAGCTTTGTCATTTTTATCAGAGGGTGTCTGTCTCCTGAATCCAAATGAGAATTCAGATATCTGAAGGCTCTGACTTCCATTCTTTTGGAAATTCTAGCTGTCACAAATAAGTCAGCAGTCGGAGTGTGAGGTGCTCTTTAAGGATGAGATTATAATGTCTTTATAATATTAACATGTTCTTTGATTTTTTTGCAACCGTGTTAGAATCCATAGCATGCTGCTGTTTTATTTAAAAACAAATGATTTCAACCATACACACAGTCTACAGTCTTCTTTCATTGGTCCACTTTTGGACCAGGCTGTCAAGTCAACACTCACTCGCTTCTTCTTTACGTTGTTGGTGTGTTTCTCCAGGTGACTACGCTGTACCTCGTTCAAGTGAGCAGCCTGCTGAGCGTGTGGCTCCTCCAGTTCTGTAACTCCATGATACTGGGATCACTGGTCCTGAGCTTCATAGTAGCCGCGCTCTTCATCAGACATTGCCAGGTAAGCGTTATGAGTGATGGGTACGAAGAAGAAAAGTCTGAGATTAGAGAGGGTAAGGATTTGGAAAAAACAGAGCGCTGACACTAAAAGAGTCATGGTGGTGGAAACTTGTTGACACACAGGTAGAAGATTATCTTTTACGTTTTGCTTGAAATCTGCGTGCTGCTGATGGTGTTTGCAGAAGATAATTTGTATGCTGGAGAAACAGTTTCCTGTCAGGTCTGAATGTAATTTAGTTCAGTCTTATCACAGTAACTTTTGCACAAACATTTAATGTGACAGGATGAAAGGCTGAGATTCAGGAGTAGGGAGATAAGTATTTAAATTCCTAAAATAAATGTTATTTTAGTAATGACATGCTCTAATTGCAAAAGCTTTGCTTTTAGCAGTCTTTCACAGATCTGTGCTCACATGTCTTGGACTTAAGTCATGCTTAGATGATGAATCTGGTGGCTTTACACTGAACATGCAGCTTACCTTGGACTAAACACCAGCCTTTCGACATCATAAGCATATCTACGGTCAGCAAATTGATGTAGTATTTTGGTGGTTTGAAGAAAAATCTCAACTGTAACTAATGAATGATAATGTCCAGATTTTTGGCTGCAGTCTGGTTATTTGGCAGGCAGGTGTCTGTACTCACTGGCACTGTGCTGCAGTTCAGGCTCGGGGTGTTTTAGATTCAGAAAATGCATATTTTTAGGGAAATATTCTTAGTTAAGCAAAGCTATCAAGAATATAAAGGATTTTATTTCTGTGAGTGAAGTAAGAACTAAATACCACGTGCCTGTGCACTGCTGTACATGGGCTGTTCCTTGTGTTTTCATAGCATTGCCCTAATCTTCTGGACAAATTTGGCAGTCATTTGATAACATGCATAAACTGCTGGGACACCAACAGAGGTGCAGAAAGGTTTCAAAAGAAAGTAGATTGAATCTTTTTATGGCTTTGATGGTTCTGCTTGTACTTGGATGAAATTGCCATGCCCAGTGTATTGTTGTCGACCCTGACTCGCCAGCAGGGTAGTGCGTATTTTGGCCAAATGGATTTTTCAGTTTAACACAGTGATTCACATTTGGAAACAATTAGACTTTCTTTCAGAAACTGTTGTGATTTCCTCCTTCATCATCATGTTTTTAGAATCAAAGTAGGAGCTGCAGGGACCTTTCCTTGCTCCAGGCCCTGCTGTTTCTTTGTTGCTTTTTTCTACTATGATAGTCAGTTTATTTTTAATGTTAAAACTGTAAAATTCTATTTGGACTTCAATTCAATTCAATTTTGTTTATACAGCAGCAAATCACAACAACAGTCGCCTCAAGGTGCTTTATATTGTGAGGTAGACCCTACAATAATACAGCAGAGAAAACCCAAACCATCATACATATAAGCAGGTGTGTTGGCGACAGTGGGAAGGAAAAACTCCCTTTTAACAGGAAGAAACTTCTGGCAGAACCAGGCTCAGGGAGGGGCGGGGCCATCTGCTGCGACGGGTTGGGTGAGAGAAGGAAGACAGGATAAAGACATGCTGTGGAAGAGAACCAAAGATTAATAATAACTAATGATTAAATGCAGAGAGGTGTATAAACACATAGTGAGTGGAAAATGTGACTGAAGACTCATGGGAATCCCCCAGCAGCCTACACCTATTGCAGTGTAACACCAACCTTATAAACAGTACCCTAATCTATTATCAATGGTCATTGATCAGTGGTTGTTGATCAATGGTGATGACAATTTGCAAAAATAATGATCAATATTAATGGTCGAGAATCTGACCTCACAGCCCACTGTTTATCAGTGGTGCTGGTTTCAGTCATTGTTCAAAGGTCCTGTTTATAAGGTTGGGTAAACCTGCAGTCAGCTGAGACTGAAGAAGTCACCTGGATGAGTCACGAAACGTTTCTCCCTCTGAAAACGTTACATCCAGATGAACAGAATTAACTTTTTGGGATTTCCTTTCCTGGATGATTGAGCGTGCATCAAGACATCTGAGACAGGATATTTCTAATTTTAGAGAGATTGTGCAAGTGGAAGAAAGCATTCCTAATTTCTGTTTAATATGTGCATTGAAGGACATGTCCTGGTCAAAAATGACTCCATGTTCTTCACAGTGTTACTGGAGGCCAAGGTAATGCCATCCATAGTAAGAATGTGCTTAGATATTTTTAAGATTTTTAGGGCCGAGTACAATAACTTCATTTTTTGTGCACTTCGTCTTTATGTCTTTAAGACATTCCTGCAGTTTAACTACTTGGTGTTAAACGTCTATCGTTTCATTTTACGCTATCGTTTGTTTCGCAGTGTCACAAAATAAGCTGTTTATGACAATATTTTTTTCATGGTTTTGATGTCACTGTAGTGGTTATATTAATTTCTTAAAGTTCTCTTTCTCTTATATTTAATATAACCACACTACAGACGGACAAGCGGCTGTTTTTATGCGTTGTGGTTAGCAACAACGATGGTAACAGCATCGCGTGTCCGCTTGTTTATGTTCCACATAAACCTTTCACAATAAAGCTCAAGATCCTGTTGAGACTTTTCAAAATAAACTGAATCACGTGAAAGAGCAGATTATTTATGGATGAGAAGTAAAAAAGAGCCGTCAGGTGCTAAAAAATAAACCTTAGACTCAAACGTTCCCGCAAGTCGAGCTGCCCGAGATTCGCAGAATTTACAGAAAATGTTACATTTTTGTGATTTATATCGTTATCGGACGATAGAATTCTTATATCGGGATATGAGATTTTGGTCATATTGCACAGCCCTACTACAGCGTGCTCTAATCGCTCTAATAGGATATTATGGTCGACAGTATCGAACGCTGCACTGAGGTCTAGCAGGACAAGCACAGAGATGAGTCCACTGTCAGAGGCCATAAGAAGATCATCTGTAACCTTCACTAAAGCTGTTTCTGTGCTGTGATGAGCTCTGAAACCTGACTGAAACTCTTCAAATAAACCATTCCTCTGCAGATGATCTGTTTTACAAGAGTTTTTGAAATGAAAGGCAGGTTGGAGATTGGCCTGTAATTAGCTAAGACTGCTGGGTCAAGAGATGGCTTTTTGAGTAACGGTTTAATTACTGCCAGCTTGAAGGCTTGTGGTACATAACTGATTATTAGAGATGGGGTAATCATATTTAAGACTTAAGCATTGACTTGCACCTTTCCAACATTTTTAGGAATCTCTCAGTTGAACACAGCTTGTTAAATGCAGTATTAACCTATATTTCATACCCTCCGTGGCCGATTTTCAGTTTTTACATAAAATGATACTCAAAGAACTACTTAAACCTTTACAGCATTTGCGTCAGACTTATTTGTGACTTATGAAATAATGATTTTATCCAACTTCTGGTTTGAAACTTGAGGCATATTAGTTTGTGAAACAGGTATTTTGTCCTCTGCAAATGTTGATTTCGCCTTGGCAGACAGCGTTCTCATTTAATGGCTGGATTAAGCTTTAAATGCATACCTTTGATGTTGGATGGTTTTGATGACAGCAGGTCTGCAAAAAAGATGCACCTGGCATACTGATGATGAGTCGACATGCTAATAGTGGCATTCAGTAGCACAACTGGCAAAATACATCCAATTAGAGGTTGTTAAGTTAGGACTGATAGTTTCCCTACAGTCACCTCAGCTGCCTAACCCTGCTGTCGGAAACACACAAATAGTATTCCAGGGCAAATCTCCAGTTTACAGAGGCGGAAGATCTCAGAGGCGTGCTGTGAGACTATTTCTAATTCAGTGGAAAAGCTGATAGATTCTCACATTTTGTGTCCAGAATCATCAGAACGGCTTCAGATGGAAAAACTCCCACAAAAAACACTGAGATGTCCATCTGTGAAGCAGTGGAGTGCTCTGTGCTCTGCGCAGTATCCGTGTTGTAAATAACCACGGGCATTTGAGCACGATCAGTAATTACTGTGCTGACTAATTAGTTTGGTAGGGGTCACTCTGTGAGAAGTTGCAGCAGACTGTGTGCAGGATGAGACAATATAGACCTGAAATCTTAACAGTTTGCAATGCGAAGTATGAAAGAATTTTGGGAAATAACGAGGACGTTTTTCTGACATCTATAAATGGTTGCAAAATGTGCAAAAATAACGAGCATAAAAATATATTTATGCATGATTGATGATTTTAATATGTGCTTAGATATTTACAGAGAAATGACCCATGCTGTTAGGGGTTAGTGGTCTGATGCATGTACCCATATATATACTGTGTGTATGGAAAGATGTCTGCTTTCCTTACATTTTTAATTGCAAAAAACTGCAGTGAGACCATAACAGATGCACTGACTAACCTCTTGTTATTCTGTGTGTGTGCATGTAGCCTGGTGTAAAGACTGGAAGCCTGGTGGTTCGTTTGGGCAAAGTTCTTCTCCACAGTGCCCTGGTTCTCCTCCTCACCGTCACCATCAACTACCTGGCCAAGGTGCGGTGTTCTCTTCCTCCCTCGCTCATCTTTTAATACACTTTCTCTCCATTTTCCTTTTTTTTTCTCTCATCATATGCTCATTATCTTGTGATCTGTCCCTTATTTCACAACACACTCCTTCCTTCTTATCCTCATCGATAATCTTGGTTTAACATGCTGATCTTTAGTCCTGACCTGATGATCTTCTCTTTGCGTGTGTGCTTACAGAAAGCCCTCCAGCTCCAATCAGACGAGCACATCTTTAAATTCATCAAGTCAAAGTTTGCTCTGGGTTCGACCAGGTATGAACACCTCCTCTAGTCCTGACCACATGTGAAATACGGGCTCGCTCCCAAACAGTAGTGCAAACTGCATATACAAAGTCTGTATTGTGTGCACTGGTACATAACTCCTGACTTGATCCAGAGTGACTGTATTATTCACTAAGCACCAGTATTGTAGCACCTGGAGTGTTATGGTGTGTGAATAATAGATGGCCGGGTAACACTAGCAGACCTCCCATTGATCAGATACTGTGTGTGTGTGTGTGTGTGTGTGTGTGTGTGTGTGTGTGTGTGTGTGTGGGGAACAGTTCAGCCACTGGATGGCTGCTCCAGGGTGGCAGATAACACAGCTCACAACTTGGTGCTACACAACTGGCGCTTCAATTATTCAGGAGTCTGTGGAAAATGCAGTGCATACTCTATCGCTGCCTCTCTCTGTTCCTGTTTCTCTCACTTGCGTTGACTTATTTCGTCTCTCCAAGTGTTTCTTTTTTTAATCCCTGGAGTCTTGCACCGCGTTTGCGTTTATATCAACTCTGTTTAGTTATTTATCCTCGTGGTGGTTTATCAGCATGTGGAGGATTGTAACTGCCAAGAATAAAATTAAAACCAAAATATCAGTTCATGTCATATTTGTTTAATGTTGTGTTTCTGAATTCCCACTTTTTGTTTTTGCATAATGTTGATGTACTTAATGTTATATAGGTTTAATTTATTTTGTCAGTTTGTATCTTTCATATATCAGAAGTCCAACGTGCAAAATATTGACCTAAAAAAAAGTTTATACTGTACAGACATGTCAGGGTTGATGCAATCTCATAGTTTTCTTTCTTTTTTTCTTCTTTGGCCTTCTTTTGGAGCCTTTTTGGTCGAGCGCAGAGGAAGGATGCTGCAAATACCAGACAAAGGATGTTAACGACATGAGGGAAAGAGGAGGAGCTTAGAGGAGGTTCATGGATGTCATGAACGAGGACACACAGAGGGTTTTAGTGACAGCGGAGGGTGGTAGGAGCGGGGTGAGATGCAGGCAGATGATCCACTGTGGCGGCCCCTAAAGGGAGCAGCCAAAACAGGAAGAAGTGGTCGTGTTATTTATTTTTCCATAGTGATTTAAAAGTAATGTAAAAAACATACAATTCATGCACATTTTTGCAACTGTCCTTTTTAAGTGCACAAGTTGTGTTTCCAGATTGTGGATTAGGTCGTTTAACGTGGATTACTAACTTATCCTGATTTGATTGGAGGTTTTTAGCAGCCTGAAGGTTTATTTCTTTTAGTGCTTCAGAGTTCTTATTGTTCCTAGATTGTATGAACTAAAGGAGTTAGTGTCCCTGCTATAGACACTATAAAAGAGTTTTGCTCTCTGCAATTTCAAGCTTCATTGTCTAACATTAGTCAAATAACCCACTGAAAATGCCCAAAAGGCATTAAAACTGTGGGGAAGTCCACTTGAGTGGGACCTAGCAGAATCCTAGCTCACTGTATCAGGACACCTGCTAAAGTAGCCACGCCCCCTCTTAAGAAAATTCCCCCCACCCAGAGTTGTTATGAAAGGGAAACGTTTTCATAGAGCCCAAAACATTTTGTTGTGCCACGCTGTAAACATGCAGTTTAAGGAAATAATGCATGCACGTTTTTACATGGGAGTCTGTTGGGGTGGACCTGCAGGTGGCAATTACAGTAACTGCAGTTTTTACTAAATTACACATCGGCTTCATTTTTAAGCTCCGGAAACTTGATTTAAAGGGAAAGTTCCTGTTCCTTTCACAATAAAAGTCCTGGACATATACACTGTGTATAGAGAAGAGGAGGTTATTGCAATAGTAGAAATCAACTTTAATGAGTAAAAGATCTCTTTTTAAAAACCAGCAAAAATATATAGTGTTACATTTGATATCATTGACATTGATGTGAAAATAACGTACAGTTGCCAGGTAACAGTAATTTCAGTTAAACGCTATAAGAAAAATATAATATTTTTGCACACGTGTAGAAAAAAAATAGTTTGTGGTGTTGATCAGGTAGTCGCACATAAGTTTAATATATTTTTATTATTATTATTATTTGTTTCTTCTGTTTTACTGCATTTCAGAGGCAAATATGTTTATTCATATGCATTAAAGTTGTTTTATTTACATTAAAATACACAATTTTGTGTTAAGTCACTCTGCCACTAATATTTCAAAGTGAAATCATTTAATCCAAGAAGCATCCTGCTCCATCCATTCGCCTCACAGTCACTCAGACTTATCGTATGACAGGCTCCACTTGGACCAGCTGCAGCAGTAAAATGCTGCTTGCATCAGTAACTGAAGGGCCCTCAGAAAGTGCGGTCTCTGTCAAGGCCAATTTATGGCCCTATTTCATAATTTTAAAGAGTGTAATTTGGATCTGCGCCAAACTTTTATAGCTTCCTCCTCACCGGGTTTCCATTTAACTCGACGTTGCAGTGTTTATTTATTCTCAGTGAAAAACAAACAGATGACCGCCTCTCGCCTCCCCTGCAGGGATTTTGATGCCAGTCTGTATCTGTGTGAGGAGGCCTTTGGCCTGCTTCCCCTGGACACGCTCGAGCGCCTGGCCGGTACCCTGCTGCTGTACCCCTACATCCTCACGCTGCTTCTGCTCTGTGGCATGTTGGTGGCGGCAGCACTGCAAAACCTGAGGTAGGTGATGACTCAACAGGAAGTGGAGAGGGTTATATAAGACGAAGCAGCTCCAGATTACTCTGATCAGTCACAAAATAAAATTAAAAAAACCCCACAAAGCAAAACAACATTAAATTAATATTTTGTTACTCTACTCCATATTTTTTGACCCATTCATGGGCAGTTTTTGTGGTGTGGGCGGGGCATGTTCAGCTGAGGAAAGACGCCTCTGCCAGAAAGTTCAGTTACCAAGAAAGTCATGCCTGGTCTGCAGCAATGTTTAGGTGGGTGGTTTGTGTTAAAGTAAAATCCAGATGATTGCCAAAGTTTCTCTGCATTGGAACAATCAATTATAAACTTTGTGTCGGTTCACTTTATTTAAATATACATAGCACCAGCTCACAACAGCTGTCGTCTCGAGGTGCTTTATATAAGACCCTACAGTATAAGAGAGAGAACACCGAAGACACGTTCCCCCCGCAGCACTTGGCGATAGAGGGAAGAAAGAACGAACAGAAACATATCCAGCAGAGCCTCGCGCTGTCTGGTTGGGGTTGAGGGGAAAGAGAAGAGAGAAACTACAAAGAACAAGGAGAGTAGACAGAGGAGAGGACGACACATTTAAAGTAGAGGAAAGTGATATAGCTTCAAATGATATCATGGTAATTCAAATTTGTGCTAACAGTATTTCTGACGATGAAAGAAAAAACGTACTGAACAGTTTTATTGACCTTTGCAGGCAGCAACATTTAGAAGTAAATAAAGCCAGAGGCCATTTTCTCTATTTTTCAGTCAGCTTCTGTCATTGATGAAACGTTAGCTAATTCAAAGTGTGAACTAATTACACCAAGGTACCAGCAGCAGCAGCATGGTGGTGCAATAGTAGTGACGCAGCACAAGTCAAATGTATGCACGAAAGTATCCCAGTGCCACGACCATGAAAGGTGTAACTATGAAACGGACTCTTAAGCAGGACCTGAGAGACAACAGCTTAAAGTTCACAGGTTTTGTTGTCACAAAGGGAAGTTTCTCAAAGGGAACGTTAAAACAGGATGAACACTGGAATGAAACTCTGGCAACTCGGGACAGCAACCCTGAGAGAAAAGAGATGGGGGTTAAATCCAGTCCACAGTATGGGTGAGCGGCAAAGTAATGAGCAGAGTGGCCGTCTCTGTCAGACCAGCTTGACAAAGACGGGTTTGAAAGCACTCTTCAGCTCCAGAGGAATCATTAGGATAATGATTACAAGGGCGTTAGCACAGGAGACACATTAGGAGAGTCATAGAAGAGCCTGGAAATTTAATGTAAAAGTATAAAGTTACTGCTTAACACTTTAGTTTAATGATAACAAATTCAGTTCAGTTTTAGTTATAACGTCAGACAACAGCAGTCACCTTAAGTCGCTTTATATTGAAGGTAAAGAGACTACAATAACAGGAAAAAACAACAACAATCAGATGACAAACACTGTCACTTGGTGACAGTGGGAAAGAAAAACTCCCGTTTAATAGGAAGAAACCTCTGACAGGCTCGGGGAGGGGCAGACATCTGTCATGGCTGGTGGGGAAGCAGACAGGACAAAAAAAAAGAACTAAACTAGCTTAAGTTAGACAATATTTTCACATAATAAATCTGGTTATTGTATCTTGGCCAGCTGCTTAAAGCACTGTGCAGGAGTAGTTTCCATCTATTTGTTCTTCCCGTCTGCAGCTAGCGAGGGCTCCAGCGATCCTCGCTCATTTGTTTACGTTTGGGTCGCACGTCACCAGCTGCTAGCATCTCCTTCTTAGCAGCTGTACTTGACGGCGAATTTTTGCCTCGTGCAGTGAAACACGTTTGTTGTTTTCACCTTCAGCAGGAACAGTTTTCGTGCATATTTTCCAAAGTACTCTGCTTTATTGGAGGTTCCTCCAGCAGCCTGAGCTTTAAGTAATGGATGGCTTGGGGTCAGCTGATCCAGCTCTAACTAAATTATAAACTTTATCAAAAAGGAAAGTTTGAAGAAGGTGCAGTTAGCAGGTACCCTGATGACAGGTAACTGATGAACCCTCTGATGAGTATTTCTTTACAGCAACTAGTGATAAATCAGGCAAAAATAAACAAGAACCCACTGCTTTGGAGTTACATTTCATCAGCTCTGTTTCTCTTTTGCTTGTCATACATTCATGCATTAAAATTAAACTACAAAGGAAACCAGAAGGCTTCCAGTACTGAAACTCTTTCCCTTGCCCACAGATTCTTTTTTTCATATGCAGATATCTTTGGAGAAAAATTAGTGAAGTATAAATGAATCGAAGGTTTCGGCTCCTTCAGAAAATAGAAGAGACAAGATGTTTATTAGGAGGCAGAAGCCCAGTCGTGGTAGTCACAGTCCCCGTGTCTGCTCCACATTGTTTCTTCACGCTCTGCAAAGCCGCTCTGCCTCTTGAAGCCTCGTGCGCCTGTGGTGCAAGGTGAGGGGCCATATCGAACTAATCACATTAGCATATCAACTCGCACTCTGCCGTTGGAGGCTTGGAATACTAACCTCATAGAACAAAGGGCTATTTGCCAATTCGGGAATTAATTTAATCCAGTTTAGCCCAGCTCACGTAGGAGGAAGAGCCGGATTGGATTTGTATTCAAATGGAAGCCAGTGTCCGTCTGATTCGGTGCAGGAGGCCAATTCGGGGGAGTGACATCATGCCCTCGAGCCTTCGTCTGTTTGTCTGCGTGCCGACTCCCGCAGACAGAAACGGTCGTGGGTGTGTGTATTGTTGCGTGTCCACTTGTGTTCAAACTACTAATGAAATCTGAATAATATCAATTCCACCCACCTTCCCTTCTGCCTCTCGTCTCGAGCGTCTGGATGTACTGTTTTATGTATCACTGTTGTCTTTTGTGTCGCTGTGTTTTTCGGTTTCTCAGCAGGCCTAACAGAGGTTCCACCGAGGAAAGGAAAGGAGCCAGAGAGGGGCAAGTGGCGGCATTTCGTCCAGATGTGGCCTACAATCTGCTGCACACGCTGTTCTACGGCCTCCTGGCTTTCAGCACAATGAGGTGAGACCTCGTAATTCTAGCATCATCTACATGCAGACGTCCCCAAGTAGTCGCATTCTGAGACGGGGACTCTCCAAATGTACTTTTCCTCTTGATGAGTTGATTATGCAAAGTCGCGAGCAGATGCTAAAATCCGAGTGCCTCTTAAACGCCTCTCACAAAGTGTCTGAATGGTCCGCTTTAGCCTTGATCAGCCCTCAGCGCCAAGCACCATCCAGCGCCACTCACAGCAGACGCAAAAAGAGTCGATACAGCTGAACAATCGATAATTAATACTCTGACCCCCCCTTCAGAATTTTAACGAAGACCTGGTGCAAACAAACGGCTAACGAAGCTCCATCTGCCGTCTCTCCACTTACCATAAATTATGTTTTTTGAAAAAGAATCATTAAATGTTCTTATTTATGAGGTAAATAGTTTCAGTTAAGTTGCTCATTTTAAGTTACTTTACTGCTGTTTCAGTTTGTGTTTATGCTGTAAAGACGTCCAGAGCAGGCCACTGTTGGGAAGAGTCTCACGGCTGTGTGGCTCAGAAAGGTTATAACTTAGAACTTTTTATTTCATTTCGCCTTGTAAGTACGCAATACTATTTCAGCAAGCAGTTTTTTTCAATAAGGATTTTTCACTGGCTTTCAACTCCTTCTTGTAGTTTTTAGTTTTCCACTGTGGCTCAAGTATACATTTATTTATGTGCCGGTGAGAGTAAGAAGGCTCGTTTGGTTTGTTTTTGCAGTCGGTGTGCGTCTCAGGCAACCATGTTGCAACCTTTCTCTGGAAAGACGGAGAGAAATGGTTCCAGAAATAAGATAAGATATAGGAGGCATACTGTTTACATGTGCGCTGGCTTTGAAAACCACCTTCTTTGAGATACATTTGTTTACTGTATTTACTGTGCTCTTGTGCGATATTTGTACAAATGCTGTTTGTACATATGTTCGGAGTCGGATACTAAGAGCCTTCTTTGCTGCTTCTTCCTCTCCTGTTTTCTGGTGGCACACAGACGTGCAGTGGTCTGTTTCTCTGGTTAATATTATGGCACAATCCACTGGCAGGTTCCCACCGTGGAGCAGCAACACCTCTGAGGGTGTCTCGGCTTGCAGGTGCCAGACTCAGAGGCCTGACACCAGTGCTGGCACCTCGCTTTACCGCCGTCTTTCTTGTGGTCGACTTTCATATTCAGCCTCTTCTTCTTAATTTCCTGAATGTTTTGGCTTGCCCGGCTGCAGCCTTTGCTGCTGTGACATGAGATATTTGCTCTTATAATATCAGAACTGTGACCACCAGATATCATTGGTTTGACCGGCATCGGCCTCTACGCCGACTACTGCAGTTTTCAGTTTGGTGTCGGCTCTCGTTGGCATTTACAGTTTGTTCTTATTTAAGTCATTTTTTGGATGAACAAACATTTTTATTCAGTTTTTCTTTTATCGGTTTGTGTGTGTCTGTGTGTGTTTAATCAGGTGAAATTATTAATATCAGGAGCTACAGTGGGTATATCATTAGTGATGTTGTTCAGTCAGTTTCAATCGATTTCTAAAAGATGGATATTGTGTGCTAGCACAAAAGTTCATTTCCCAGCAGAATGCTTCTTGTACCTGGAACAAGTTTTATTCTCAGTATCAAACATGCTATGACTCACTTTAGCTTTTACTTATAGCATCTATAATGTGAGCATATGGTGCTCCTAAAGGCCCCGTGTGGGGTTTATCATGACCATTTATTTACTCATTAATATCTTCTGTAGGAAGGTAAAATACCTGATCGTCAGCAGTCTCTGCACAGCTGTTTCTGTCCTGTTAGCAAACATGTTTGGATAGTTCTGTCTACTCATTAGTGGTTAATTTCACATGCATGGAAAATTCCCTTTGTCACCTATTTTTATCTCCTTGCTTTAAAGGTTTGGTTCTATAAAAAAACGACGCTTTTTGCCGTATCAGTAGCTCTGCAGCGTCAGACAGTGTGACTAATACACCTTGTGGCTTGAATTTTTTTCTCTCCCCATTTCGCATCTATAACCTTGAGCACAACAAGCCTCCCAGACCTGACTCCAGTCGTCTATTTGTAATTGTCAAGTGGTTTTCATCGCCACCATCATTAGTAAATTTTCCGGCCTGAACGCGTTTCAGGCTGCAAACACACGCTGACATGTACAATTTATCACTAGGAAAGTATAATTGTGTTTTAACTTTAGGCTCTTTGTGAGGAGTGTCAGGAAAACCATCGAGATCACCAGTGGAATTACTACTTCCTGTCCCTGTAGTAAAAGAAACCTGCAATTACTCTGTTAAAAAAGAAACTGGAGTTTTCTGGTGTGTTGTTTATAGCAACTTGGCTATGAGGGTTTTATAGGTTCACATAAGTAGCTTCATTTAAATAAGAGTCTGTCAGTAGCTGGGTTATTCTCTGTGTAGGGAAATGTTGATAATAATTGAATTTATGTGGTTAGCAGGATTCAGAAAAGCAGGTCTATGCAGTACTGTTAACGCTTATAGTTCACACAGTGCTTTGCTGTCACAGTTGGTAATTTAAAGTACTGATTAAATTCCCACAAAAGGAGCAAAAGAAAAAAAAAGTCCTGAAAGCTTTTAGCACAGAGTCAGGTAGGGCAGAAAGTGACACGTTTGATTTCAGCACTTTCTCTAAAATGCTGATTAAGAGAGAAAAGCCAAAAGTGCAGAAAGCCATTTGTTTCTGTCAGACGGCTCCTTTGCATTAAAAAAGTATTGAGATTTATTTCAGTGAGGCTGCACTTCTTTATGCCTCCCCCCTCGCACGGCTCCATCTCCGCACCTGTCAACAATTTTTCAGCTCATTTCATTCTCCCCGTCTTCAGTCTTCTGCTCGCTGCTCTCTGTTTAATCTTTTTCTCATTTGTTTAGAACTCTTTGCTTTAGCCTTCATGTGCTTTGGATCAGAACTTAAAAATAATGCAGTGTTTTTGGCACCAAATCAAACTCAACCACAGCGAAACCATTTCACTAACTCGTGCGCTAAACTGCAGACGAGTTGGTCGTCTTGTTTGAATTCTGTGTGTGTGCTGAGGGAACGTCCTCCAGTCCAAGCTGTATAATTTGTCTGTGTCATGGAGGCTGGGATCTGTTTTCTTTTTTCTCCTAAGAGGAAGACTGTTGAGACACGAGCGCTGCTTGATATGTCTTCTCCTTCTCTCTTTCTGCCCAGAATGAAGTATATATGGACTGGCCACATGTGTGCGGTCGCAGCCTACGGTGTCTGTGGGACCGAGCTGTGGACTGTGCTTCTCAGCGCTCTCCGATGCAACACGAAACTTCTGGTACGAGCTCACATTTTCACTTCTGGCTCCAAATAGTGCTGCAGGGAGGATGGGTGGTAGGATCTTTGTTTACGATAATCTCCAAAAATTCCACTACTTTATGTCCTCTGAAGCATAAATACAGTCATCAAAGCTAGAATTCAAACATTAAAAAAACCTAATCTGCAATTGCAGAACAAAATGTGCTTCACCATCCAGGCTAGTCAGGGTTGAGTAATCTCAGATCTTGTTCCATTTAGATGGGAGAAATTATTCATTTGTGAACTAAAGACAACATAAAATATAAAAAGGATAACTATATTTGTCCCAAATGTTGGGAAATTCCAGTGTTACAGTGACTAAAACTGTAAATGCACTTTGCAATTAAATGGCCCGATTTTGCTTGCTGCTGAGTTGAGGAAGAGGTGAATTTCTACCAATCAGATCGTGTTTATTCAAATGCACTGTTGCCACTGACCAATTAAAACACATGCTAATGTCCCATGGGAGCGAGGTATTTGCTTGCGCACGAGGAGATATTGTGTGTGGATACAGTTGCTAACAGGCTCTTCAGGCTCGTCTTGTGAGCGGCTGCCAAACATCCAGGATCTGACCAGCTCGTTCTTCCCAAATCGAACACATTCACTGCATTTACTGCACTGATCAGTAGCTTTTCTCTCGTCTGTGTCACATTAAGAGTGATTGCAGTCCCACGTTGATCCCACGGTGCCGTTTAGGTGTCGTTACCTGTAAATGTGACTTCCAATGGTTGCTGATGTGGCTCAGAGTCTGTTAGATGTTTAACTGGTTGCTAACCTGTTTGATGTAGTAACTTTACATACACACTGTGTGGCTGATGACATGTTCTTGACCTGCTAGATGAAAGTGCACATGCTCGGAGCGCTACGTTATATCGCGCTTCCACAGATGAGTAAAGAGCTGTTTTAGCTATTACCCAGTGCCAAAGGTCGTCTGTAACCACAGTGCTGTGCTGCTGGCCACTGGATAAGCACACTAGAGCACAGCCAGTTCAAATTCTCTTCATCAGAGTAGTTTCGAGCAAGCAGGGGAAAAAAAGATGACGGATTAGATCGTTTCTGGCCGGGCGATTGGACCGAACAGCTTTCCAGTCACTGAGCGACTTCTAACTGTCGTTTAAGAGAAATTTGAAGTGTGTACTTTGTTCTTAAACATGTCTCTGAACGTACTGAGGTTTGATTCCCAGTTCTAGTAACACTGCACATTATGCCTGTCACCACCCTCCAGTGTGAGTGACATTGATCTCTTTTAAAGCTCACTGTGAGGCGCTCCTGAAAGATTTTTCTATCTTTTATGATTTCCTGTATTGATGTGACGGTGAACCATTATGCTGCTGAATCCACAGCCTGCACTCTGAGCGTGTGCCGGCATTGCCAGTGAGGCCACTAGGTGTCAGTGTGGTCACAACAGGACGGCAGCAGGAATCAGATAAACGATGGTCGGGAACAAAGCTGCTCTATCTGCCTGTTATCTCACTCCGTGCTCATTTTTGGTATATCTCTGTGTGGCTCTTTACTTTCCTCTGCTTCTGATACAATTATTTTCCTTCATTTCATTAAAGTTGTTTTCTTTCTGTCATTTTGCAGTTGAGGCTTGTCAGATATGTCGTTCCTGTTGTGATGATCGGTTTCCTGTATTACAAGGTAGGCCATTTTCTTGGTGGTTTGTGCTCATACCTTTTATTGGAGTTTTACTTCTGGAACCACATGGAACGATATGAGGGAAAGAAAATGGGCTAAATGGAAGTTACGGAAGAAAATGATGAAAAGCAATTGGAGCCTAACAGGATACTAAAACGATTGCTTCCCCTTTATTTATTTTACTGTTGGAGGAATCTAAATAGCTGTCGTATTCCCTGTTATGTTCAGTGAAGCAATAAGATGTTATCAAAGATATATCAGTGGGTTTGATACTCTGCTTATGGCTTCATAAACCGAATTTTCCATCACTTGTCTTTGTCTTTTTTCCCTTTAGTTCTGGCCTAAGCTGATGGAGGAGTTATCAGAACTGAGGGAGTTTTATGATCCAGACACCGTGGAGCTCATGACCTGGATTAGGTAGGCGCATACACCCGCGTTCACAAATCCAGAGCGCACATCATATTGAAGCAAATTTGATTCGCTTGTTCCTGCAGATCGAGTTTCACTGTGCCTCGTGTCCTTGATTAGTCCACGTGTGAGCGTGTCCGTGTGCGTGCATGCGTGTGTCTCAGCGCTTGTTTGTCGGAGAGTCTGTCTGATGAGTGATGAGAGCTGATGGATATCCATGAATAAGACATGGGAGTGCTGGAAAGGACCCAGCTGTTGGCAGAGCTCTAACCCACCTCAGGGTCTCTGTTGCTGGGCTTCCGATCAAGAGCATCACCCTGATGGGATCAGAGATGGAGCTGTGATTTGGAAATGCTCCGAACTGTCGCTGATGCTGCTGTGTGTTTGCACATCTGTGCGCGCGCCTGTCATTTTCTGGTCGTCATGTTGGATGCACAGCGCTGGATTGGCCGCCCGTAGTGCATATCCTACATCTGTGCAACTATAACATCTGGCCAAAGACACAACTCTCAGCTCTCTGCTTAGTGCCTGTTAAATTTCCCATTTATGTTCCACTTACACCAGCACAGACAAGTTGGTTTAACTGGGATTGTTGGCAAGGTCAGTAGTTATCAGCTGGGTTTGCAGCTCTCTCGCAGACCTGAGGCTGAACGCTGGTCAGACGCTGCGCAGTGCTGCTGGACTCGTTAGGCATTCAAATTAAGAAGCGAGAGATAATGAAACATTACGGCTGAGTGTCAGGAATGAAGTGGGATGCAGTAGTGGTGCAAACTGAAGCTGATCGTGTGCTTCGTCATTAAGGTTTTCATCCTTATTGCTGATATTGTAACATAACAAGAACGATATGCTAACTTATGTATTTTGAATCTTCGTTCTAGAATAAATTACAAAAAGTGACTTATGGTTTTTCCAGAGGGGCTGCTAATAGAAATATTATGACACCAAAGCACCTTTTTCCTAAAACTTGAGTGTTTTCTTTTGTTGCTTACATCAGGGCTGTGGGTGTGTTTGTAGGCATGCTGAAGGAAAACTGCAAGAACCACATTTACAGCTGTTTTTAAGCCTTCGGTTTTCTGTAATTTTGCCTTCCTGTCGGCCATTGTGAGAGAGCGGAGGGCGTAGTCAGTGTTCCCACTTTACATTTTTGCATTTTACATTTTTTTACAACACTTCCACACATCTGCTGCTCTAAGCAGTCCAATTAAAAGTGTTAATGTCTTTGAATTCTGTTCATTCTTTTATGTTATGTGCAGATATATTGGTAGTCTTGTATGGATTCACAGTTGAGTTTGCACGATTTGCAGACTGTGTTCCTCCGTTTAAGTTAACAGCGTCTTTAAAGGTCGTTAATTTAGGATTAACCAGCTCTTGGTTAGCTATAGCTGATTTGTTGTTAGCTAGTCGATTTGGTTTGCTGAGAATACGAGTTTGTGGAGGGAAAAGGCAAGTTACAGGACACATTGTCTGCACGATTGTGATCTCTTTTGGCAGAGAGAAGGGGAACTTGACACTTTTTGTGTTTTTACATTCCTGCTGTCACCAGTGGCCACAAACTAGCCTCCAAAGAGTTTTTGGGTCACCCTGATAGTAGCCCTGCTCCTCCATATCGAAACGCAAGACTCCTCGCTGAGGTGTTTCAGCTTTTCTAACTGGAAGGAGACCTCAAGGCAGCTCCATGACACACTACAGACACTTCAGCTGCTTAGGGAATGCCTCATAGAAGAGCTAGAGGCCTGGAAGTCTGGGAATCTCTGCTTGGGCTTCTGCCACTCAGCGAGAGTAATAAAACATGGATGGAGATGATTAAATAGTTTCACCTAAGACCAATAGTGTACATTTTATTGTCCTGCTTGGGCTACTACTGAAAATTTAAACCCAAACTGTTTCTCTTTTGACTTCAACATGGAAATGCACACGATAAATCTGCTTTTAACTGTTTTGTTTTTCGCAGGGGAACGGTCTCAGACCCCCTCACACAAAACTTGGATGCTGCAAAATCTTCTTTACAAGCTCTGTGAGGAAAAATGATAGTTTTTGTCCACTCAGATAATCCCGTTGCCATGCAAACACGCCAGCCTATCCTCAATACATTAAAACCAGTTTAGAATGACTTAACATAGGTTTTCCCTGTAGTTCACTTATAGACTCGGTGAATGATAATTTAAGGCTTCTTATTTCCATCCTATCATCTTCAGCGCGATGACACCGAGTGGACCAGATGTGATTTCTAAGAAATGGACAATTTTGGTATAATCCTATTAAACACTTAGTGGAATGGCACAGGGAGAACGAGAGAGATATGGATAGTGAGACAGCAGAGGAGAGGTTTGGATTTTGAATGTATTTGTGTGTGTGACATGGGTTCCCTTCCCTCCGGAGCTAATCCCATTAGGCGGTGAGGATTAGGGGCTGCCTAGAGTTACCTTGGTTGGGGCTGAGAGCAGGGCGGAGTGCTAAGCTTCTTGCTGCGCTAATTACATTCCAGATGAAAGTGTTAAGATGGGGAAGGAGGTTCATGTTACGCTGTATTCTCTAGGTGACTGAGGCCGAGGCTATTTCGTTTTATATGCAAGAAGCAGATATTCAGACTGCGGCACAGTAAAGGGTAGGACGAGCGTGCGTGCAGCGTACGGAGGAAAGTATATTTCGTGAGCAGCTTGCGTGCGTGCGTAAGCTGTCGCAGATTCGTTGTGATGATTGTAGCTGCATTTGTTTGACTTTGGTTGATCTAAAATGAAGAGTTTGTCAAAGGATACAAGGTCTGAGAAAGTCTTTATCTTTACAATCTCTCGAGCCAGAATTAGGATTAGATTAGGGAAAGGATAAAGATGTTTGTTTGATAACGATGGATTCAGAGATGAGATTAGGATTATTAGATCAGAGATAAGAGGGCCCTCGTCAGGGCTAATGACGCATGCTTGAGGCCCTCATTAGTATAGAAGTGTGTGAGTTAAGACAGGCTGATGAGGAGATTATCATAATTCCCAAGACTCTCTTTCATGACCCGTGACTTTATGAGTTTGAAGAACTAAGGCGCAGCCATAATTCACAAGTTTGCACTTGATAACAGAGTTGGCTCCACAGCTCCGCTGTAGGCTGATACTGTGTTCTAAATGGGCAGTCGATAAATCAATAGCACTGCCTGGATGTTCAACTGCCTCCAACTTTGAGTTATAGTTGAGAGTGAGCAGTTTTTAAAGTCACAAACATCACCTCCATCTAGCCGGTGTGCTCTCTCTCCGCTTCCTCCTGAATCCGGTGCAACTTTGCTCTTCTCAGATTCATGTTTCCACGCTGGTTTTTGCAAAAGCAGTACAGTGTCAGTCAAAGGAGGTTACTGAAAAAATGAAGGGAAAATTCGAGGTAGTTTTGCTGCTCTGCATGAAGTATTCAAGGCAGTGCAAATGTTAACGTGCAGCAGAGAGAGGAGCAGCGGAAAGCCAGACATGTTTAATACAGCTGATTCTAGGCCCCTCAGTCCATTCTCACTGCTGTCACTGCACCGTCGCTCCAACAGGGAACAAAGTTCACCTCGCATTTCACAGCACAGATGAGTCAGAAGTGGGATCTATTACATTTTGAATGAGGTTATTTGTTGGACTTGGATTTTGATGTCAGTGTCACGACTCTGATTTAGTGATTTCTATATTTTTGCGTCATACAATTTCCCTCGCTCTTATTTTTCTCCTGACACACACCGCTCACCGTGCATATTCCACCGCATAGAGAGGCCGAGTGATAATGCCAGCCTCCTGTGAATCGGCTTCTGGATTGTGGTGGATTGGTGTTTTGATCCCCAGCTGCTCTGCATGCTGAAAACATGAAGGCCAAACGCTGAAGTTGCACCAGTAGCAGCTTTGCATTGCAGCTCTGTGTGTGCACGTGTGTGTGTGTGTGTGCGCATGTGAATGACTGAATAAGAAATGCATTTTAAAAAGCTGTGTAGAACAGCTAAGGTTAAAAGTGCAGACAAATCGCATTTTAACTTTTCCTCAGATCACACAGCAAATCATTGATTTCCATATTTTACTTCCTGAATGTCCGCTCTCGGTACATCCAGAAATTTCCTCCTCGGCCTTTCTCTTTTCCTGGCAGCTCCGTCGTCATTATCCTGCTCACAGGACACAGGAGGAGCTCACTGCTCTTTCACATAAACCAATTCAATCTGGCCTCTCTTGCCTGGTCTCTGAGCTGTCCCTCTGATATACTCTCTGCTATTCCTGTCCATCCTTCTCGCTCCTGGCACAAATCTCACGAGCTTTAATTCAAACCATTTACCATTTAATATGCTTTTATTTTGAAAGCTACCTTGCTTTCCCCCCATCCCCCTCCAGCTCACCCCCACCCTTCGGGTGTAAGATATACAGGCTGTTTTCGAGAATTATGAAGGCTGCAGTGGAAATTATTAATGAGAGCTTTGACAGCAGTTTTGCTGCAAATTCAGGAGGCTCATCTAGCTACTCAGCATGGAGACCCATTCAGTGAAGGAAAACGACTCCACTGGAAAAGTCAGCATAAACCCTGATGTGTTTATACAGCAAGTCCACACGCTTAAACAGGAAAACACATTGTGTCTCAGTTTCTTCTTAAAGACCATTACAACCACTCCCAAAGTAACCAGTAAGCATGTTTTTATTTGATTTTATTTATTCATATTTGTACATGTGCAATATTAACATCAGTGTTTGCCATTTCATGCACTGTGCCAGAAGTTAGCTTAAAGCTAATTTACATCTACAGTCCCTCAGCAGGTTGGATGTGAAAAATGTCACATAAAAGATTCTCACATCCATAAAAAAAGAAAGATTACAAGTCTGAGTCTTTCAGCAAATATTTTAATAAAGCTGGTGAAAGCGCTGCAGTACCTAATGGTATCAGGCAGGACTTCAACTTCCATTGAGTTCAAGCTTTCGCAGAGAGTGCTGATCGCCCAAAAGCAGAATGACAAAACGCTACAGTACGGTCTTTAGTTGATGATATGCTTGTAGATTGTAAAGATTCTCATGGGC